TCAAACTTAATTTCTTTCTTCTCTTCTTTTTTTTTTGTTTAATTTATAGCTTATCGATGATTGTGTGTTTTACCTTTTGCCTTTGCACCGTATGTGTTATATTTTATATACAGATTGACAATTCGTATCTTTCAAACTTAACTTTCTTCTTTTCTCTTCTTTTCTTTAATTTATAGCCTATTGATAATCGTGTGGTTTACCTTTTGCCTTTGCACCGTATGTGTTATATTTTATATACAGATTGACAATTCGTATCTTTCGAACTTAACTTTCTTCTTTTTTCTTTTTTTTTTAATTTATCGTATTTTACCTTTTACCTCGCATCATATGTATTATATTTTATACAGATTGACAATTCGTATCTTTCAAACTTAATTTTCACTTTCAGTGAAGTAACCAGTTCAGTACAACAACTCACCCTTCGGCTTGTCGTGCGCCAATGCCCTTTGAAAGTGCTCCTCCACCTCGGACGCAGCATCCCCTCGGTAATGAGTGAAGACCACGCAATTTGTGCTGACGTACTGCGCTATGCTCTCGCCATCGTCTGAGTCCTCCGCTGCAGTGCCGGTACCTACGGCTATAAGCCAGTTAGGTAGGGCAAATTTGCCAGGATTAAGCGATATTAATTACTGCTACAATTCATTATAAATCTACCAGCTGAACCGCGATTTAATATCAAATTATTATTTTTTTTTCCTTCAAGAAACTAATACTAGTATTCGATTATTAAAGCGCAAAAATTTTTATATTTCGTTCGGCATGAAGTCCCAACTTCATGTCATTCATTGGGGTGAATTCGCAGATCCAAAAAATTTTCACAAACATTGTGTTCTGCGCATCAGTGACTGTCGGATTAATAAATATAATCCAAATCTTATCTGTAAAATACGTGACTTTAAACAACTCTCAAATAATCGACAGCGACATGATGCAGTAATCAAAAAAATCGATTCGTAGATAAACATTGCATCGACCAATAGTTCTTACTTGACTACAGACAGAATACGATAATTTCTTTAGAAACATCTCGGAACCTAGGATCGTCCGTGAATTAATACAAGGAGCAAGTTCAGAATCATGGTTGCGAAAAATCAGCAATAGAAAGTAACGTAGCTTCTTGTCG